CGAAGTTTCTCCCGTAACAACAACCGACGAGTAACATGAGTCAAATTTTGTTTAGGCCCCGGTCAAAAACTACCTCTTCCTCCCGTAACAATAACCGACGAGTAACATGAACCCAATTTTGACCCTCGAGCAAATGCGAAAAAAAATCGCTGGTACGACCCTCTCCGTCTGGATAGGCCGGACGGCTGTTCACGCTCTCAATGGATTCCGCTGTTATCACAGTTTCTCAGCACCCATGGAGACGAATATTTAGAACTGCACTCATTGCCTAAATGATTATCGCCTACTTGTTCCGTGAACTGCAATTGAAATTTCTCCTTTTTTGAAACTCGTTAGAAAGCAAGCTGCCCCGAAAAGGGCAACTAATTCGAAACGACTTTTATTGCTTCGCATTGGGTAGGGTACGGAATGAAAAATATTTGTGGTACCAGTCACTACATGACTGTTATTCTAGCGCGTCCGCCGATAGCATTCATGTTTTACGTCCGTAATCAGCGCTGGCGCGTAATGCCCGATTGTGCACGTGATTTTGATGGAATAACCTCCAGCTCTGTGTGGTTGCCCCATTGCATGGGTGTTTGCTTTGATTTCCTGACGTGTCGTTAAGTTCCCTACCAAAACAACAATCAAATTTCTTTACGAATCCCTCAAACAAACACCATTCATTTCAATAAGGAGGGTATGTGGTGAGATAGTTAGTGATGTTTATAGTGATTCCAACGTTTGCAAGGAGAGGAAATCGCACAAGCCTGTGAACTATTTCGCTTCGACTATAGGCGACACGAACTGCAACACCAAATCTCTCTGCCTCTTACGGGAGTTAACTCCACACACCCTCACCCAACTGAAGATCGGTAACCACCTTCGATCAGCACCAGGCCATATTGAATATGAGGCCGTAACCTATCCTTCCTTCAAATTTCTTTGTTTTCAGACGCTATTCCCTATATCCGCACTAGTCTGCTTTTACACACATATATACATTACAAATAAGCAGTTTCTCAGAGCGATTCTTTTGGAAAGACTAAGAAAATCCGAAGGAACACCTCTTGGCCTAGAGAAGGATAGAATACACCACTCTCCCCTCATTAACGAAGACAGGCGTGAAATGCGGTGTATTTCGTGCCGCTCTCGCTCGGTGCATTTATCTTTACGCCGGTGTCGTTATCGTCTGTTTCTGTTTCCGTCGTACTTTCCTGGATCTCATTTATCATGGTACACAGTTGATCTGAAGGTGCGCCCTTATTTTACGCTAATTTCGGAAGGCGCAACGTGGCTTGGGGGGGGGGGTATCGCCGCGCGCTGCTCAGCGATGTAGTGTTACTCTAACATTCCAGCTTCTCACGGAACATTCCAGCTGCTCACGCATGCTAAGTGAGTGAGCTGCCCTCACCCCAACCCCCTGAATTGGCTACGATCCCCCTGGCTCACGAATTTCCTGGTGCCGCAACGCCGTGTACGGCGTACCCCCCCCCTCCCGAGCCACATTGCGCCTCTCGGAGCAATTATTCTTCTGGCGCTTTTCCTTACGTTCCATAACAGTTCTTTCAATCGTGTGATAGGTGGTTGATCTCTTCAGCACTCCCTCGGTTTCTGCTGCTGCTGTTATTTCTTTCTTCCTCTTCACTTCTTCGTTTCAGTTTTAGGATTAGGCCTTATGGGGAGGAAGGGGAAATTCGTGGAGTTTCGTGAAGCAGTTTCAATCTTCTCAGAAGCTTTCCCCACTCTTAGCCTCAATCTCATTCCTCGCACTGTCTCACAACACACAACAGTCAGCTCCACAAGACATTCCAATTATGGGTGCTATACAACCAGGATGGGCACGAAGCGTCTTTTGATAGACTGCTGCGCGCTACTATATGACACGATAATCGGGGAATTTGTGAGCCAGGGGAGTTAGCCAATCTGGGTGGTGAGGGGTGAGGGCAGTTATTGGACATGTATACCTCACTTGTATAGAGCTAAATAATGAAAAAAATACTGACTATCGATAGCTGGCGTTCTGTTGTGTCAAAGTGACCGCACGCGATGTTCCAAATAAGCGTAAAATATGGAGTTGTCTAGTGTGGAATTGATACATATCGATTGTGTCATTGCGTGTACCATCTTTACGCTCAAACTGCAACACGGTCGCAACGTATGGCTGCTCTCTGAGGAAACGTCGTGCCTCACTGGATTCTGGCAGAACGGCAGTGGTAAAGCCAAAGCTTGGTCTGTTGTGGTGAACTTTAAACATTACTTATTTCTCCATGTGTTGGTCTGTGGTTATCGGATGTGCTTCACTGGGACAGGAAGCGACTTTTTCGCGTTTCGCAGCGCGAAACATTGTTCGTTACGGGAATCTCGGGTCCACTGATGATCAGCGGCGGACTTGAGGTTCCTACAGCGGAAAATGTTTCGCGCTGCGAAACGCGAAGAAGCCGCTTTCTGTCCTAGTGAGCCACACCCGTGGTTATCAATCATGGTTGAGGATGCAGGGTAGAGCAAGAACAAGGCAAGGAGTCAGCAAATAGCTGCAAAATGTGCCTTAGGGCGCATGCATAGTCGGTCATCCGATCACAACGATCACACAGTATCAGATACGTATCGATCGTTTGACGTGAGGCACATGTGGCACTGGACATCGGCCTCCCCTTTGGTTTTGCACCGTTGTTTCCATCCTTTTACTTCTGGTTGTATATTCGCACGTAAATACCTTTCTTTACACCTTGGGTCATCGCGTCGCTTCCCCTATGCGACTGCCGCTTATGCCGTAGTTAGGCCGACGTCATACTTTGCGATTCGATTGGCGATTCGCTAGCGATTCGCCAGCGAATCGAGCGAATCGCTAATCGAATCGCAAAGTGCGTCTGCATTACGATCGTCACGGTCGGACGACCGACTATGAATGCTCCCTTAACTCTACTTGTTGTAGGAAAGCATTTCGATGGATCTGGGATAAGTTGTATTTGAATTGTGAGGTCCTATGACTATTCATATAGTCCCCTATGAATAGTAAGATGTGGCAGAGTATTCGTGCACCAGTTTTTTCCTCGCTGAAATTGCCTTCCATTCAATGTCTTCGAGAGTGCATATTCGGGCAAAAAATAAGCAATCAAGGCATTTCTAGCCATGGCGTCGTCGATTTGAAGGAGGCAAGGTTACGGAAATTTGAACCGGGATGTGTCACTTTAGTGCACGCACCCTGCAGCTTAAATTGATTTTTTAACAATTTGTTTCGACTCCGTCTTGTTTCGTCACAGTCTCTTTCTTTGTGATTCTCGCTTTTTTACAACCTAATTTTGATGCCGTCGTTATTAAAGTCACGTTAAAGGTATACCTTCACAAGGTCTCCACGCAGGAGCCGTGTTCATGTACGATTTGGCCTCATTTCCTATTTCCGTCTATTTTTCAATATCTAATACCCCCAAAAAGTTTTTTATACTGCCTTTTCATTCCCTTTCCTTTCCAGCTTCACCCACAAATATTGCTGCTAATTACTGTTCCCTGTCAGATTGAAAACAATAAGGCTGAAGATGGGAGACTAGTTCCCACCCTGACTTTCCCCAGTTCCCAGTTGTTCGAGAGACTTCCACGCCAGTGGAGCCGCAAGAATTTTGGTAAGCGAACAAAATGTTACGAGATCGGAAAATAGAAAAGCTCGGAAAATCATCGTACTTCATTAGCAACGAGAACGCTATTCACCTCCTGAGACCTGTCATTTTTCTATGACTGCGGTCGTATGTACTTTGCTACCGCTTTGCTGTGCGTTTGCACTTTTGTAGAGTAGACACGAATCGTCCATGAGTTTGTGCGATTAATATCAAAACCGCAAACGCCGTGACGCGTGTAAGGCCGATGTCATAGTTTGCGAATCGAGCGATTTGCTAGCGAAACCGAACGTTGCACCAGCGAATCGATCGACGCACCAGCGTGTCAAACGGTGTACCAGCGACTCAATAGTGGCGGGACCCAACGTTCGAGGGAAGTCCCGCCACTTTCAAACCGCGTTCACCATCAAGTAACACTTTCGCTAGAGAATCGCTCGATTCGTAAACTACATATGTCATCGGCCTAACAGCGTTGCAACTCATAATGAACAACTGCTTGAGCTTCCTTTTTGGTGAAACTCGGGTTCGGGGGGGGGGGTGGCATGCGATGGTGCATCGCTCTTTTCGTGTGCTCCTCCTAGGCCTAGGCCAAAGGAACAGTTACTCTTTCACCACTGTTTCAGTTTCAAAATACGCGCAATCAGTGACTAAGCCTTGGCTGTTTCAGCTGGAAAACAGCGCCGCGCCATCGCGTGGTCCCCTCGAACCCGAGTTTCGCCCCCTTTTTTATCCGTGTTATAGCAGTGGAAGTTTTCAAGCACTACTGCACTACTAAAACCCAATTTGCGGTGAGGTGGGACATTTTTTGCTCTTCTCGTGGAAATTATCGGAGTCCCCCTCACGAAATAGTGCCGAATTTCAGGTATACTGGAGTGGCATGGGCTGAAGGGCTAGAAAATATTAGAACCGCTAACACTTAAGGAAAGGCTTACTGCTAAAATATCGATCCACAGTTGTGGTATTACTTCTGCCTTGAGGTTCCTAGGTCGCAGTTTTATTCTGTCCAAAGATGGATTGATTTCAAGATAAGAGGGCTTGAAATTTATCGATCCATAATTTTAATCCTTGTTCCCTTGACCGAGCAGGAATTCACTGTGCTTTGAAACGTGTATTGACTGCCGCGCTCTGAGGCCATTTGTTCTGCATACAAAGCGCGTGTGGCGTAGCGCACCTTTTTCTCATTGTTTGTTTGTCGCTCGCATAGAACTCTTCTGCGAGTGATTTCAATAGTTTCTTCTCATATAATCTGTATATTTCCTTGCTATAATCGTATTAAGTGTATTTTTCTCGCGAAGCAAACTCTGTTGGAGCTCTCACCATAAGTAATTCATAATTTTCACTTGATTTTAGTTGTTTGCAGATCAATGATGTCGCCTTTATAAGCATAGTTCCCTCTGTCAATTGCTTCCGATGGAGGGACCACCGCTTGTGACTCGTCACTCGCTTGATGAAGAAGATGTTCACGGTGAGCAATCGAATGATGTCATTTAGAAAAGTTGTCGAGAAAGTAAAGAATACTAACGAGGTTGTAACTTTATAGCTCAAGACTGCCTTGTTCAACTGCAAATGCCAGTTTTCTAGAAGTTTGGCCTCTTGAAGTGTATTTGTTGTAGGTCTGGGGTACGGCGTTGGTGATGGATGTAGCGGACCGTTTTCCACAACTCTTCTGGAACCAAACGTGCATGACGTGATGAGCATGGAACTTGCTCATCACGAAATGGGAGGTGCGTTTTTTGTTCTAAATGCTTTAACTGCTGGAAAATACCTTTTGTCACGGGATGGTCAAAAGCGTATTTCAGGTTACTTGGATCCACGAAGTTTTGGCGGAGGAACCTTGGGTTTCGATGATTATAACGGTGCATTTTTATTGCTACCCTTTCCTAGTAAGCATTACTTCTCTAATTTTCCATGAAATTTAATCAGGCTTTTTCAGCCTCATCATCCTTATACGACGTTAACAGCGCTTTTGGGGATGACATGTCCAACGAGCAGAAGAATTTATTTGGCAGTGATGCTGTCCCTTTCACCCAGTGTACGTATCTCATTTCTTATTCATCAATATTTATGTGAAAAAACTGCGTTCATGTTTCAGTGAATACCAACAACCAAATGAAGTCAAACGGTCGTACAGAGCATCATGCTGCAACAATTCAAAATAACAAATACGACAACAATGTCGTAAGGTTAGCCGCGGTGTTAGTCGTTAAATTTCAGCTGGATTGAATATGTGAAGTTGTGGCTCAAAAAAGTTCTCTATTTTCGATTTTTCTCAGGTACGACCAGCCACGAAGTGTACCCACGTATCCTGTGAAGACGGCTGATCCATCCACCTGCACTCAATATGCTCCCGTCAGGACTCTACTAAGGTAGGCGAAAATGATGCTCGTTGTAATTCTGCGTGCTTGGAAAATTTAACCTATTCTATTCTAGTTCTACAATGAAATCACACGGAAGCACTTCAAGTCGACGAACAGCATCTCGTAGCACACAAAAGAAAGAGGCTATCGATCCGAAAAGGGTGGAGGATGAAGTAGCGAGGTGCAGCTTGTTTCTGTTTTCCCATTGCTTTCGTGATAATGTAATCTTGAGCCTATGTACAAGCACTGAGATTCGGAGCTCTAATTAAAGAAACTCGATATTTAAAAAGTCCCCTTAACCAGGTTCACTGTGAACGATTCGTAAGCGTGATCCGTGTTAGCGATTTACGCTTACGGATCGTTGGCGCAATCAATACTGCCAATACTTATAGTTGGGCTGAGGGTCATGACGCCGTATTGGCCTTAATTACGCCATTTTTTTTGCAGTTTGGATCAATCTCCACTGCCATATTTAACTGTGAAGTACAATTTATGATCTATCCTTCTAAGGAAACCGCCAACTATAAACGCAGCTTTAGAGTATTTGTGTGGTCCTCTTACATTACAGTGGGAGTGACCCAGCGACTTTAGGAGCCGCCCCTACATTTTTTGACTAATGCTAGAATCAAGTATCCACCAAATTTATAATCTTTCAAGGCGGGCAGTCGGTGCCATGTTAATCTGGAAGGGCAAAAACGTTCAGTCATGGATTGGCAGTTCCCTTGCCATTCGGTTTGGTTTTGGAAGCGTAATAGCAAATAAATGCGAATTGTTTTACGGACCAGTTTACATTCACGAGCTATCACAATTAAAATATAACTCAGTGCTGGTTCAAATTTCAAGGCAGAAATTTAAATAAAGAAGCCTTCGTTTTTCTCTTCGTTGTTGCAGATCTACCTTTGTCATTGACAAGTAAGTAAACTACAGTTAGATAGCTATAATCCTTCTATAGGAACAGGACCAATAGTCGAAAAAAGACGATGAACTAGTTTAGAAAGCAAATAAGACAGTCCAGGTAGTAAGTATATGGAAGAACGTCCCACTCATTCTAATATTCATCTAGATATGGCGGCCCACAAAGTAATGAAATTACATTGACTAAAAGATGAATGTCCATAAACATAGGCTTTTGGTTTTTGTCAAGATTCTCTTTTTTGTCAAATTTGTTCCTTTTCAGAAATGTATCACAGATTCTGTCCGCTACAAAACAGCAGCGTCTGGCAATGGAAGCCCAACAGCGCAGCGGTACTGCTGCACCACAACCACCACGCATCGCCTATGCATGCCCCGACTGCCATAAAACAGTAACTAGCACTAGAAACCTACAGGTGGGTGTTTACGTTAGGTGCATCTCAATTTTTCATCACTGAAGAGCTTGGCGCTTATATCGGCTCTTTTAGCGTCATCGTCAAACTTGTCCTGCTAGGATGGGTAACGGTACCACCGTCATGGGAATGCCTCCTTCTACAGTACCTTCCTCTTCCGTTGCAGTGTGCCCCTCTTCTACCTCGGTGATGATATCGCCTACATCATCGTATTCTAACCTTTCTTATTCTAACTATAACCTCGTAGGTGTTACTGATCAGAGTAATTTTGAAATTGGAGTTATAATCCAGTTGTCCTTTCTAGTCTACTGATGATCAACATTACGCGGACTGGTCTCGCAGCAATAGTTATTCCGCTCCACAATCCGTATCTAGTCAGCACGAACGTTGTTTGAATGAACCAGCCGATCAGCTCGGTACCCTGGATCCTAACAGGTATATTTTCTTTTAGCAGGCACCACATTGCGAACAATGTTTTAAAGTGGATATGTGGTGCCACGGGTATTGGCTTTCAAGAGAGAGCATCGCTCTGCGAAGAGATCGTTTTCATGATTACGCCATGAGACTTATTGAGCCTAAAGTTTAATCCTTTATAAAGTGGTGCACCGGTTCACGATCCTTCGCGCCTCTATTCTTCAACAATTTTGAGCAGCACAATCAAGTAGAGTTCTGCTGCAGCAGTGGCTCCTCTGGCGCGTCACTCAAGCCGATCTCTTTGTGAAGCTGCGCTACGCCCTGGCTTGACAACTTATATCCGATGATGGCTCAAGCTTTACATTTCGGTACATTGCCACCACGTAGAGTTTAATGGTGTTCAGTTTCTGCCATTTTGCCGTGATCTAAGTTTTTCTTTACAAGAAGATTCTTCTGATTTATGATGATTTTATGCTCAGAGCGTTCAATATTCAAAACCAAAAACGGTGTAGCTTACACTGCCCTAAATATTGTCTTGGTCACTGATATATTTCTGAAACCGTTTTAACCCACCCCCTCTTTTTTTCGTTAGTGTTCGCTGAACTCTTCAATATATTGTCTTTTTCTTATTCAAGATTGTCTCATTATTCATTGTGCATCTCCGCATTCTTGGCAAGTGTATGGATAAAGAACTGCTATTGAAGAAAGAACTGCAATTGCACCAGCAATTGAAGTTCAGTGCTAATTAGCGGTACACCATTAGGTTGATCGCTGCTTTATAATGTGTTCGATTATCACTTTAGGAAAGCTCAGATGTGACCAAATTATGCCAGAAAATTTATTTTTATGTGAGAATTGATCTTTTAAAGTGTTTCAGTATCTCATGTCGCCTCGAGGATGCCTGCTTACATCCTCTCTCTTTGGACCTCGATGAACCCCGAGCACTTTCAAGTAGCGATTCGACAAGTTCCGCATCCACAGGGACTCACTCGTCTGGTACAATATTTATGTAAGTTTAGGTGTTTAAGTGTGACAAGTGTTTATTCCTCGCCTCTTTTCAACTGAAACATTTTTGATATGCGTGATTTTCAGATGTGAATCTTGCAAAAAGTCAGTTTCTTCTCTGCGTAGCTTGAAGCGCCACCACACTACCTGTAAACAATACATCGCTGAGAATGGTCCGCCTCCTGACAGCGAGTGAGCATTTTCTCTGCGTTTTGCCTTTCGAGACTTGGATGTCATCCCAATTTCAACTCTCCTCATGGTTTATCCAACGAACTCATTTTTCTCCTCATTTTCATATTGCAGCACGAGTGTTTGCATTCCATTGATTTGTTTCTGATGTGAGATTGGCAAACACAATGAAGCACAATGACCAGCTCCGACATTGATTCTATCTCTACAAAAAGGCAGATTATCTCCGCCACAAGTAGTCATGTTGCACTCGTGACTATGTGTGCTCCGATTTTTTTTGCCCTTATGTAATGTCAGGACCCTGAGTGCTTTTCCGAATGTTGGTGGATCCATTTTTCATCACTTCTCTACAAAAACCCGTGGCGTGAAATATTGTGTGGTCCTTATGTTGTAGTGGTGATTTCTGATTTTCAGCCGTTCATCGACTTCTCAAAGCAAGAATGCTGCAGAACCGGTCGCCGGTGATTTGCTGACAGTGGCCGTAATGAATTCAGCTGTTTCTCCTGGCGTTATGAAATCCACTTCGTGCTCGTTACCATCATCATCATCGCGTATCACCGCCGTTGTGACTGTGATTGCTGCTGACCGTGGTGGTACAACTTATCAGTTTGATTCATGTTCGAATGCCCCTCCTCCTCAGTTGCCGCTCGTTACGTCGTCATCATGCCGCTGTTCGTCATTATCCGACTGCATCTGCACACCGTCAACTTCACCTCAGCAGTCTTTGTTGTGGTGTGTTTTGTCGTGTACTCAGCTAGACAACCAAATTAATATTCTACGATATTTCTCTCAAAAATAGTCTTATTTGAAAGTAGTAACACGAAGGAATGCATTAAACAGGTTTTCCACTACATTCTCGAAGCTTCTATTTTGAAGTTGAAATCGAGCGAAACTTTTTTTGTGGAGGCGGAAAAGAACAAACTAGTTAATTCGCTTTTTTGATTTGCACCTCGTAGGTCGAGAAATCATGGTTCAAAGGTGACTCATTCCCGGTGAATCGCTTCGATAAACTCACACTGCTACAGAAGTGCCAAACTCTGCGACCGCTCGCGCAGTGCAATGAGATCATGTGGGCCAAGGCTAGGCTGACACTGATCACTGTTTCGTATGGGTCACAAGAATTCTTTATCTCTAGATCGATAACGAAGTTTTTCTGATCAAGAATATGGGGATGCGTCCAGTGCAGTTTGGTACCGAATTCCTCGGCCGGAACTTGCTGCACCGGGATTTTTCATCACAGCCATTGTGTGATATAATATGATCGATATGGATCGTGTGACTTGTTGAAATTTCCACCATTATGACACTAACCCAATCAAAATATGATTGCCAACTTCATTCGAGCGCTAAAACCATATCTTCAATCGGGACCGATCGATACGTGATGAACAAAGATTGTCTTGCTATTGTCCTGTTAATACCTACGCGCCTGAATCTTGGTTCGCCCACCGAGGCCCTTACATTCAAAATGGAATTTGCGCAATTTGGAAGAGGTTTTGGCATAAGCCCCGCCCATTGGATCGGGCTCCGCCCAGTGCCGTGACTTCCTAAGCCCCGCTCAGTTCCGTACATGCCTTGAAAGCGATTGTCCATTCAACCGGGAACATATCCCAACTATTTTCTTGGGTCTACTTAGACAGTCTGCTGGTTACAAACAAACACACGAACAAACAAGCCAAACTACTGCTTTATAATATGGAGGGATGCTGCAACCTTGGTGTGTCGATTTGTCTATATGTATATCGGTCGGTATGTGGTTATGTATGCATCGGTCTGTTCTTTTACGAAATTCCTCGAACTATGATAAGAAAAGTGAAGGGAAACAACACTGATACCAGAATGGCGAGCACCCTATCTTGCAGTATCAATATTTCGTAGTGTTATGAAAGTGATAACACCATCAACCGCTATATAAGCATCCACTGAATATGCTCTCTGCAATTTCACACGGTGTTGCCGTCACAGTGGAGGGGGGGGGAGGGAAGAAAACAACTTTTAGGAAGCCTAAGGTTCAAATCCAGTTGTTGACCTCACGAGTGAAAACGACGCACTTAAAGGCGTGGGTGGGCAGGAATGGGGATGTGCTGGCGGGTGTTGGGGAATAATTCTATCAACGTTATAAAATGTCACAAGAAAATAGAATCAATTCCTCTCACACGAAATAAAGGTAAAATATGAGCTGTACATGTGTAATTACATGATTTTTCATACAAAATGTAGATCAATGAGTTCAAATGACAAAACGTCTAAGTGAGCAGATTAGTTTTGCAGATCGGAGATTGTATAAGAATCTGTCAGATTAGTGAAAAAAACACCTGTCTTCTTTCCTGACGACCCATCAACCTCTTCCCTCTGGCTGTATAGTTATCGTCAAGCCATGTAACATGCTTCCGTTCGTTGGTGCCATTGAACACTTCAAGAGTTTTCGGTGATCGTGCTTGCGTTGCTGCGCGACCAGTTACCACGCTTGTTTCGTCTCTGGCAAAGTTGACGATAATTATCAAAAAGCAATGAGTATCATAAAGGTCTGCGCCAAAGCAATAAATGATCAGTGGAAGCCTTAGCCAATGCGGTGAAGCAAATGAGGTGTAGTGCCATCGCTGCGAAAAGAGCGCTTGTGCGGTTCTGCTTTACCTCTGAAACCGGTCTGGCATAAAGCAAAGTTTTCGATGTCATCATTAGGGTTAATTTCATTTAAATCTAAGAATTGGACGACCACAATCGTGGTCACTTCCATTGGGGCCCGCTCCCGAGCAGCCTCTGTTCACAAGGGAGAGGTGTAGGTCAAAATTAGTGTTTGAGTGAATTGTCCATTTTGAGAATACGGTGTAGTAAATTCTTAGTATGTTTGCTACTTCCGATTCGGAAAATTGTTATTCTCGAAATTTTTGAATTAGAGAAAAAAGTTAATGGTTTCGGATATCGCGTTATGAAATAGGCAGGATAAATAACGAGCTAGGTTCAGAAAGTTGTGATTGCAGTTGTAAATGGAAATGCTAGTTCAGCAGAATAGTTTTGCAAATCCTAGTCAATTTGTTTCTAAGCAAAGGTTGAAATTTTTACTATTATTCGTCGATTACAGCGTTCCCAAGCTGGCTGCCAACAACAACACATGTGAAGATTGTAACCGCCAGCTGTGTTCGGCTAGTAACCTGAAACGTCATCGTGCCACATGCAAGATCGTCATGCAAAAGTGGTGTTTTTTATTTATTTGTTTTAGACTTCTCCAGCACCTTGTTGTTGTTTTTTAAACTTCAAAATTTTAGGCAGTACTCAAGAAGTGGTGGAGTTGTTTCACCAGTGTCCAAACCTGTTCAGCAACAGGTAAGGATATTCACTCATATTGATTTTTTTCGGGCAATTTCACTTTTTTAGAAATGGCAACCAGTTGAGATAGCAGCGCGAGAAAGAATGATAATTGATCGATCGTATGCAGCTGCTTTGGCAGCTAGCCAAGAGGCACATCAGCATGTTCAACAACAGCCACAGATGATAACTCGTACAACATCGGATAACACTGGGACGTTTGTGATTGTACAGGACCAGGGCATAGTCGGTGAAAGACCCTGGGTCAGTGCAATCTTTTACCGTTTGGGATTCTGTCATCACTCTTTGTATTTAAATGATTTTAGATAACTGTTGGTGAACACCTACGAGCACAACACATGCAGCAAAAAGTACTAGAGGCTCAGAACCAGCAAAATCAAAACATGGCGCCCTCAGCAACCTCATCGATGGAGAAGTTTAGTAGCGAGGATGCGGCTAAAACTTCTAATAATAGTAATAATAATAACAACAATAACAATAACAACAACGGCAGCACCAACAACAGCACCGGCAACAACAACAATAATAACAGCAACAACGAAACGGTGAGCTTTGCTTCTAGTTAATCTTGTCATTATGCTTTCTTTCGATTTGGGAGAGGATTGAAATCAGCGCTTCAGCTATCTCTAATGTGCTAAGGAAGAAAAAAAATCGTATCTATTTTCAAAAGGGTTTAAAAGCGCTGAGATTTTTTCGCCACAAAATTAGCCCTGCATGTGGTACCCTCACTTGTGAAATTTAAGTCGTGCGATGAACACCACGTCGACGACACTGAAGGTACTGGTGAAGAGAAGCATCGTGTGCAGGAGCCCTCACAAATGATAGAGCGGAAGACGTCTACGTCTTCGTATAAATGTACGAACGTCATCTCTCGTCTTCCAATGAATGTACAACCAGCAACAGTTATGCGCTGCTCATCAACTGTCGAGCAGAAGCCGATTTACGAGTGTGTTTTTTTCCTCCAAGATCAGCATAATAATGCATCTTTACCTATCAGTACACTATTTCAGCGTAAAATCTGGCGCAGGAGTTGGATCGCAGTCAATTCAATGCTCATCAGCACCAATCACTCCACTTGAGAGTATTATAACAACGCAGCCGTTACCCAGGTAGGATATGTGGATGCCAACGCGGATTTCATACATTTCACATCTAAAAGTCTTATTGCATTATTCTAGCGAGCGCCTGAACTCGTCGTTTGGATCGTCCCGAGATACAAATGAGCGGCGTAGTTCGGATGCGATACAGACAAGTGTTCCAGCGCTTGGTTCCTCTGGCATGTTGTCATCTGGTCGCCAGGCTGCGCCACTCACCTCCGAATTTCAGTGTCCAGAATGTATGAAAACGTGAGTTATTATTTTTTTTCTCTATCGAAACAAATGTCGAGCTTTTGTTTAGTTATTCGTGCCGTAAAAACGTGAAGCGTCATCGCATGGCAGTACACAAGTTGTCGGCAGAGGAAGTATCACGACCAATGAGTGCTGCTCAATCGTTGGGCAGTATGGGTGACTCGCCACCACTTCCATCTCTGGGGCAACAAGTCAATCGTATGACGGTGGCCAGAAATGACTATAAATCTGAAGGACCTATGATGGGATCTTCTCAGCAGATGGTTCAACAGTCAAGATATCAGGAAAGGGTACGACTCGTGATGTTTTAAGTGTGGTTTTTGAGTTTGTGTCATTATAGGTGAATAATTCATGGATGAATTCCCATCAAGTGCAAAATTCGCACACGGAGGGCAGTTGGGCCAGGTCAAGAGAGTACGTGGATGATGAGGAAAGCGCTGAAACCGCCAGGATTGCAGCCGAGCTGAAGCGGAGCGCTGAACAGGAAGTACGTTCATCAAATTTGTCCATTTCTTCGTAGTGAGCTTATTAACAATAATTTCAAGATGGCTGAGATAGAAGGGAAGAAACCACGTACGGAATTAGCTGAAGCGGACACGACATTCCACGAGGAAACTGAAACAAGGTAAGAAAGAGATGAGCAATATTGGGACGTAGTGAACGTAAACATTATTTTTAGCTCTTCTCTCACACACGATTCTACAAGAATGCATTCTTTGACATCATCTGTTGCTGGACAGTTCCACTCAAACTCTGGTTCTCATTCCGCAATGAGTTCGTGGATGGAGCAGAAATGTATGTGCTTAAAATGTAAACTAATTTCCGGTCTTCAGTGTGCTGGTCGGACAGTGTATTTCTAGCAGCAGAGAGTTTTCTTGGCTTTTGTTCCAATGATACCTTTCCCATAGTGTTGAGAGCCTCTTAAATTTTGGCGAAATTTAAAACGATTGAAATTGTGTTGATCTAGGGGGATACTTTTGTTACAATGAAAACAGAGACATGAATTTCGTATTGCAATCATAAATATCATTCGGGTCATGGTGATATGCATGGTGTTAACTCAGGTTTTTCAAAATTTGACAAGAAACAGGAACAGTTATGGAGAATCGGTAAAACGATAAAAGCCAGTAGTCCGAAAGCCGTGAGAAATAATAGCTGCTGGTTTGTGCCTAGTGTTTTAGCTGTTAGCATAATTACAGCAACACCGGCGGACGTTTCTCATGGGGCGCGATCGGCTCCTCAGTCTGGTCCATCTACAACTACTCGTGTCAATAAGAGACCGCCTCATGTTTGCATTGATTGTAACCGGTGAGTATTGTTTCTGGTTGGTGCACAACATCCGCAATTTGTTCTGAGCACCTTTTGATGTTTTTTTTTCAAATTTTATGGTCGTCGTTAAAATAGGAGCATTGAAAAATTCTTTCACATGCTGCCTGATATTTCAGTGTTCTCTCCTCCGATTATTCGTTACGACGTCATCGGCTCACTTGCGTAGAGGCACGTGCAAATGGCGCTAATCAACCTGCAGCTCCATCCGGAGGGTCTAACACCAATAATTCTTCCCTTAGTGAGGAGTCCTTGCACCTCCAAGACGTTATGCTTGGAAGTGCATGTATCGGGAATGACCGAAACACGGTACTTTTTTCGTAAATTCTTTTTGAGCATATATGGTACCCTTACCGTGTGTTTGCAGGACTCGATGGGAATGTCAGATCCAATGTTAAGCCACGTTGCACTTTCTACACCGCTACACCAACAAGGTGTTCAGTTTAGTCGTACACCATCACTGACTGGCTCAGGATCGGCTTCTGCCGTCGACGAATGGTACGAGCGTCATTCTTTGCGCAAAACGGATGATGTGCCGGACTCAACTACCAGCCAGAGGTAGGCTTCCTTTCCTGTCACCACGCATGCATTAGGACCACTGCTTAAAGTGAAAATCTGTGAAAATAGTTGGCCTGTTTAAGTATTCGACGACATTTTAGGCTTGATCGTTCAACTTCTCCGGGAATTCTCGCCACGCCCACGGAAAGCTCACAACCCGGTTGCCTCCAATACACCAGAAAGCGTGCTAATTCCGGTGAAATAAATGTGCAGAGCGGTCATACATCTCGTTCGCAGCAGCACAAACATCTCTGCCAGGTCAGTATCTCACTATATATGGGTAATGTTCACTAATTGGCGAGGGTGAGTCTTTGAGCTACTTCTTTTCTCAAAGGAATCATGCTCAGTCATACGCTTCCGAGACACTTCCATTCACATTCCGGTCGTCTTGGAAGTAATGTGGGAGTTGCGTTGTGTTGTAATAGTTTTCAAAGCTATTTTTAATTGTTCATTACTCACAGCGATTTTATGATCAGGCGCTTTTTCACAGTAGTGATTTTCCAATTTTTCGATGGATCAATGACATCCCGTATTATTCGGAGCGTGGCTTATCATGAAGGATTTGCAGCGATTTGGTTCAGGCGAACCGAAAAAATAAAACTCTTTAGTTATACCCACCTTGGGGTGCGGGTGTGGTTCACCAGGACAGAGAGCGAATTTTCCGCTTTTCGCGGTAAACATTTTTCATTGCGAGAATTGCAGGCCCACTCAGGTTTCTGCAGCGAAGAATGTTTCGCGCTGAACGCGAAGAAGTCGCTTTCTGTCCTGGTGAACCACACCCGCACCCCAAGGTGGTATACTAAATCTGTGCAAGTGATCCTAATTCGGGAGAAATTCTCGTGGGATAATTTTGAATGTGCTCTCGGGACAAGGGTGATTGTGCTTCGGGGGGACATGACTCTATTGTCGAAAGAAGGACGTTAGTTTTAGTGAAGCTATACACATAGATATACACATATACAGTGGATTTTTTCTCTCGTCCTGTGGGATTTATTTTTGTTTATATTTATCTGAAAGATCGCAACTACTGTGATGTTTCTCGCGAATTTTTCCGTCCTGTTATGCATTCGAAAAGTAAATTAAAGCAATATTTCACTCAGATTGAAAGTGTGAAGATCGACATTCGTGGATAGAGTGCAACGCGCGCGTAATAGGCAGCGACAAGATCTATGCTGTAAGTAGCCCCGCTTAATTCGTTGAAGTAATACCGAACGTCTTAGTGGCGAATATCTTAGTACGTAGGCGAATTCACAGGTTTAAACGTTGCTAGCTAACGACCACGTTCATGTCCATTTAGACCTATCGTGACTTTGAGCGAATTTCAAGTCAAGAACGCATACTCAATTTTTGTACATAACGATGTCGCACTCATTTGTACACGTTGACCTTACAAGGCAGAATAATCGATTAACACGGATCGACATTGATTTTCAAAGTTGCTTTCAATGAGATGTTGTGGGTTTGTGATTGTGTTGGTGGTGGTGGTGGTGGTGGTGGTGGCATGGCATTGTGAAGTTTGTGGTTTAGTTTGCCGGTTACGACGATTCGATATCGATTGTTGCTGCGGCGAATGCTAGCATGGAATGTGATTCTAGCCGTAGTGCTCGTTGCATCACCCAATCGAACGGGATGATCTGAACCGCAGACTTCCACACTTCGCTGCATAATCTTCTCTAGCCTCTGCGCCTGTCGCTAATTCTCGGATAATATGTGTTGTAGTTGCAATTTTATATATCTTCTTATGACTACTTGTAGTTATGGTGTTTCTCCAACTTCTATTACCAGTGGTTCAGTCTTTAAAGTGAGCGCTTCTTATTGAGAAGAGGGTGTAGCAGCATCACTCTTATTGACTGAATCGTGGTACCAACTTACTAATTCCTTTACTCCTCAGTTGTCTATTGTATCCGTTTTGCTAAGCTTTCTTACGGTACTCATTTATGCATGGCTGTGTTCTCTTGATACATTATCTTCTTTGCGCTTGGCGCAGTGATTGTTTCACGTCCTAAATGGATTTTTGTAGTGTAGTAGTTTTCTGGACTGTGTACCGTGGATGATTAAAATTCCGTATTTCCATTATCAGTCGGTATTCGAGCTTTAGCTTCAGGTTTTTCGTATCTGGTCTCTTTATTGTCGTTTGAAACTACGAGTATTAATACGGAAATAAACGACAGATTCATCAGTATTTGGTTGTTACACACTGTATAAGGGAACTCTGGTTGACAATCTAATCTGGTTGACAGCCACTGTGAAAAATGATGACATTTTTTGGAATCTCTGTTTTCAGTCATGTGGAAAGTTTTACTCGTCCGAATGGAATTTGGAGAGGCATCGTCGAGAGTCGTGCCCCGTAAAAGGAAAGGGAGCGTCACCAGCCCGAGAGCCGTGAGTTCATTCGTAAGGAATTTTCCATTATCCTCTCCTAAATGAATGCGACATTCCAGCACTGATAGCGCAGTCAATGACGAGACAAGCGTACAAGTCGGCCATACGCTTTTCCTGTTATCGAGATCAGCTTTGTCCCGTGCTTCGGCATATTTCGCTCAACTATTCGCCATGCATGATCCATCAAAAGGAGAGTTGCGCCTGGAGCTTGATCCCACACATTTTCAGTCGCTTTTGGATGTGTATAACAACCCTAACAATCTTAATCGTAAGTTTTTGCCTTTACTTTATGAAAGTTTCAATCAAACTTTGTGTTCACGTTGTATTATGGACATGTGCTCCGAACTGCTGGGTCAGCATATATTATATTATATTATTACTTATATTATGCGCTTTCATTCTATGTAAACATTGCTGTCCACTATTCTTTCCATTTCGTGCCATTGATCTATTCGAAAGTTTTGGTCATTATCTTTTTCTACGAGCATTGATTAGAGAGACGTTCTCCCATCTCACCGAACGTAATAATGTCATGAACGCAGATTTTTGCTGCCTTTGTATTCCATTTTTAAGCCTACTACAGGCAGTACATTGAGAAAATTTTACGGCTCTAGAATTGTAGGGCAACGAACACTACCAAAATATAGGTACTTTCCTTAGTAAAGCAAGAATAAAGTGAAGAGGAAGCATTTATTGATCACCCGTTTTCTTTAAATGTCTATTTCGATGATTTTCTTGAATCGCAAATTGAGTCCCCATTGATTTTTAAGTTCAAATGATTAGATTTGAAATTTCAGAATACAACATCGACGCTGTTGTGGTTTTGGCTAATCGGCTGAAATTCAGCACCGTTTTCGACAGCTGTGAGAGATACATTGCCGAACAGGTTAGCATACCATATGTTCCGACTTATTTCATGTTTTAGACGTTGCTAAACAACACATTAGTGGCATGGCAGAGCATACTTGGTACCGCGCGCTGTGGGATAATGTGGTGGGATGCGCGGGTGCATATGAGGAATTTTTCTGCTCAGGTTGCAAATTTCCGCTTGGCATGGTTCAGAATAGACTGCCCAAAAAAGCATGAGTCAATACACTGAGCTGCAAAATTTAAGGGGTTGCTACATGCTATGCCACTGCATTAGGGTTGCTCATGACATTGTTTGTGCTTTTGAGCTATACCCACTTGTGGATGTTCTTATGTAGTGATCATACCTACTCGCGGTCAAGCATACTTTTTTTTAGCGAAAGCCAATATCTCACACTTTTTCTTCTCACAAGTTTTTCGGAAGTAGAAAGTAGGTTCGTAATAATAATAGAAATGCAGTGTATAGCGAACGTGAGTCGGATGAAACCTTACTTAGGGGTGAGGGGAGGGGGGAAGGAAGTGCTTGAAGTTTTAATTGGCGTAATGGTTGGCTGTGTATCATTGCTTTCGAAGCGGTGGGTGTCCGCTGAATTGTACTGGCTTATCAAAAAAAATTTTGGTATTGTAATTTTTCTGTCATAAACTCGTCCTTATTCTTTGTTCTTTGAACCTATTAACAACTCTTGATTGTTCTCATTTTTCTGGTTCATATTTATCAACAACTTTTTCTCATTTGTTGTTCCAGCTGCCACAGATCTCAGTGATGCACGCTATTCGCTTAGCGGAACAGCTCAAACTTTCGGCTATTAAGCAACGGCTTTTCGACACAATCTCGATAGACGTTTTCAGGTAGGAATTGATTTGTGGCGAACGAGCCTATTCTATTGGACTTTCACCTTCTCAGAGTCCATTTACAGATCTCTGGCCTCTGACGAGCAGTACAAGAAGATGGATGCAGAACTGAAAGCTGAGCTGCTCGAGAAATGGGGAACGTTCCTTTGAATCGTAACACTTCCAGTGCATCGAATGCAACAAGAGATAGCTTGCTACTTTCTCACTAATGTATTTGTGGCTATTTATTCATATTGTTCGTTAATTATACACACTGCTCTCTTAGCTACTTAAAATTTCTTAAAAATCAACCTCGGCGTTCAGATTCAGTTTCTTAATCAATTCTATACATAGTGAACAGTGCTTACCTTTTTGAGGATGTTTGCTTTCAGTCGTTTGCAGTTTTGGCGTTGTCCTTCTTTTGTTTCACGGTTTTATTTCTTCTCGTTGTTTTCCGTGATGCCTATATGATTTCCTCAGTGTTTCTATGTATGTGTTAGTCGATCTAGATGTGTTACTGCCAAAGTCGTGTCGAGCTGAAATGTCGGTGTGCAGTGATCTCATACAAATGTGCACAGCTGATAGCAATTTCTGAGTGTTTTTTGTGATATATGCCCAAAAATTCGAAAAAAAAATATTAGATTTGGAAATTTTGATCGTTCTTAATCACGTTGTTGTATTACCGACCCTTTATTTTTGATTTAGCCCGTATAATTAGACCCGGTTCAAGCAGTTTCGTGTTCTGATGTACCCATAACTTCCTTCAACTATTTATTATTAACCTCGTTCATTCCACCCTTATCGATCTCATACTAAATAATGCGTGGCGGCTTTTTTATTCATCGGTTCTCTTGGAATCTCGGCAATGTTGTTCTGCCAATCCACTGTCCTCATATCATGATGTAGTGTGATGTGTGATCACCACCACTCTATCTATTTAGTTGTTGTGTGTATCGCGTGTATGTCGCGGACAAGATTCTTTATGTTCAAAAGTCGTGATTCGTCGAATGTAAGCCTAGTTGTTACGTAGCTTTCTATAGTAAAATTTCTAAATATTGTGTTGGTCAAGTGCTATGATTGGTCGTTGGATTCATTGAATACCCCAGCGATGAAGAAGCAGTTTATAGAGGTTAAGCAGTGTTTCTGTACCATTACGGTTTATGGTGTTACATTATTGATGGCATTGTAATTTGGGAGTTGCTCGTTCCATAGTCGAAGTTCCAAGTTTAAACCTTCGAACACGAAGAGGTTTCTGAATGAACGTCTAGTATCCCATGTATTTTCTATAGACTATTCAAAGTGTGAGCATAGAATGAAATTCGAATAATCTCTCGGTGTTTTTTACTCTTCATTGCCGCGCTTTTGAAAATGGAGCTGAGTTTTTTTCGATTTTTTTTCTCCGGTGAAGTTAGTCCAAAATCTCCCTTGGGGGATGTTTGACGCATGAGATACGAATAGCACATCCGTTCTACGCAAAAATACTTGCCACCAGCGCCATCGATGTTAGTGCTGAGAACGCAATAGCCCCGACGCATGTGATGTAGGCGCAAAGCGCTTCTTGGAAACCAAGTGTGGTCTTCGTTTATCACAGGTCAAACTGCCTCGGAGGCGAACCTTTGAAGAAGTTCACTTGCGAGAACAAATTTCAAAAAATCAAAAAAATTGTCTCGGAAAATTGGGTCTGTGAAGGGTAGTGTTTTTCTAGGTTTGTTTATTTGACACAGATCCCAGTACGGAATCTTACCATTGTATCTTAACTTTCTCCCGTTTAAAAAGGCTTACAAGGCATCTGTCAACCAAAGGGTGAGAGCGTAGCTGGAAAAGCACACACTTTGTGTCTTATTGGGACTAAGCCTTGTGGGGATATAAAGAAAGAGGATAGACGGCTGCGATAGTGTGTGTGAGAGCCTCCAGACATCATTACAAGACGCTGAACCACCAAGCCTCACGGTTGACAGAAGTCCTGAGACCATTAAAAGTTCTAATGAGGTTTCTCATCGGAAAAGGAATAAGTTGATCGTACCATACTTCTTAAACTGGGTGATTGTGGGACGATGGAAGATGATCCTAATAGCGCACGCCGTCATGCGATAAGCGCAGTTGAGGGCGGTATGAAATATTGCCGAATCCACCGGATTTTTCACTACTTCGGATTGGGTTGAATGGTAGCAGACCTTTGCAGAGTTAAATACCTATCGGATTCTTTTCACTGGTAGTACAGGCCTCTGTACACAGCAACTGTTTTCAAAGGTTACGGTTTTTGGCGGAAGCTGAGTGCATGGCGCATGCTGGAGCATAGTTTGCCGACAAAGCCTTAGTCGTTTCATCGCACGGGAAATTAAAGGAATAAGGGAATTTAGGAGTAAATGTGAGTAGATTGCTGTGGGGAAAGCAATTCTCACAACTCTTTGAATGTGATCAGATCATGAATTCTGTATTCTATGCCTAGAAGACGGAAAAATCGCGGAATACTTAACTTGAGCTAGGTAAATGCCCGTTGCAGGGGACCTTAACACAGAATTTGTTACAGCGATGCACAAGTTTTGGTAGGAAGGCCAAGGAAAGTCGCTGGAATTTTTTGGAACTCCGTCGTCCAAAAAACAATTTATTAACCATAACATAAGCGAGGTCGTGTAGCTTTTGCACTCAGGTCTCTTACATGGACTTCGGTACGCTTAAGAAGTTTGTTTTCACAAAGGGGTCTAAAGTAATATGTGGTATCTCTTTTAGGCCAGTGTCATAGTTTGCGAATCGCTGGATCCGAGCGTTGCGCTAGCGAATTGAACGTTGCACCAGCGAGTCGATCGATGCATGAGCGAGTCGAACTATGTACCAGCGATTCGATAGTGGCGAGACTTAACGTTCAAAGGAAGCCTGTCACCTTCAAGATGGGTCCACTGTCACGTGACGCTGATTGAAAGTAGCGGGCTTCCTTTGATGACCTCGGATTCTACCACTATTGAGCCGGCCTTTTCATGTGGACTCGCTGGGGTAACATAGTTCGATCCGCTGGTGCATAGGCCGGATTCGCCGCGTGCCAAAGTTTGATTCGCTGGCGCACAACGCTTCAGATCCAGCGATTCGCTAGCTGAGTCGTCCGTTTCTGCGAACGGAATGCGTCGCCTGGTACCTTTACCATTTAGCTTGCTGGCACGTGTTCGCGTGCATCACACAGGATTGCAGTGGTGTGGGACAGGGCCAGTCCACAGTCTGTAACGCTTCCGTGGCAAATTCGCCCACGTGCTTGCGCGCTCTACCCACCTGTTGGCGCACAGGTACCATCTCTCTGTGCTTTCTCTTCCTTCCATCTTCTTCTCCTAGCCGCTAAGTCCCGGCGCAGTCGCAGGGTCCGGCTGTCTTAAATCAGTCGTCGCCACCTTCGCTCTGTCTAGGGACATCTTTCTGCGTGACGTGATTCACTTAGTCGCGTCTTGATGTACGTCCTTCCACTCTCTCTGGGGCCCTTGCGGTCGCATGCCTTGCGCTTCGAGTCATTGCTTTCTTATGGAGGGTCTGTGGCCTCCGAGCACGTGCCTACATGCAGAGCGTTACCGTACTTCAACTAAAGGAATCTGCGCGGAAAATCATGATTTTATTTCAGCCATAAATCACTGGCTTGAGTTTACTATTATTCCACGTATAATAGCGGGAAAAGAACTGATAGAAATTCAATTCTGCTACGCGTTCGAATTGCCCGGGACGTCTCTCACGAGAATCCTGTCCGACGAGTCGAATGCTCAAAATGGGTTCTTGAAGTGCATTCACTAGAAGCTCTTTTCTGGCTTCTGCCTTCGTTGCATCTTAAATTTAACTCATCCTATGCATCGATGTCTATTTGTCTCACCTCGTCGAATCGCGCGCTTTAACCCGTTCTCTCATGCGTCGAATGGTATCGTAGGCACGCGTCCAAACGCTGTCTTTTTCCAGTGCCTCGCGCTCTGCCTCCTGCTGTCTTCGATGGCCATTCACGTGTAAGTTTTTGTACGTTTTGGGGTGTTGCTGTTCAGGAGCGAATTTTCATGCGCTGAAAACTTCGTGTGTGCTATTCCTCAGGTATTGAACAACTGAATATTTCATTTGTATAGGAAAGAGTGCAAAATTTTCGCGCAGCGATTCCCTTTAATAGTCGACAGCTTGCCCACGGAACGCCTTCTGACCCTCCTCGTTCTGACCTGTCCGGCCGCGTCCAGCGCAGGCCCACCTCAGCCCTCATGCTACGCGGAGTGCCAGCTGCTTGGTGATTTTTGTTCAGGGGGCCAGCACTCGCGTGCCGTATAGCATCGCAGACCTCACCCTGCCGATACACTTCCCTATAAGCGTTCTGCGAGCACCTTCGCATCGCAGAGATAGTCAGTGGACTCCCTCCATTTCATCCTATGCAGCGTTACTCGTGTCTTTCACTGTTGATCCACATTCCGATCGGCTGCAGATCTGCTCGCGAGGGATCTGAAGTCCATACATCTCTCTTCTACGAAGCAGCCGATTTATTTCACGCCATGGTACCGTCGACGATCGCCTCTGATCCTTCAGAGTCAGGAATCTGTGTGTCGTTGACTATTGTCGAGTCCGTGAGGTCGACTCGTGTCGTGTTGTTGTTCACTTATGCCAGCGAGCTTTGCCATATACTCTCTCGTTACGTGTCCGTAGCTTCGACACATGTCTCACTAAGTCGATGTGAGAGCATGGTGTACACGTGATTGTCGCTAGAGTAAATGATGAGTGTATAAATGTATAGTCCTCTATCAGAGGCGATTGGTCGCGTCTCAGCGGTAGAGGATAGCTCCTCAATGGCCCTGCCAGTGATACCCGCTGAGCATGCATACTAGTGTTACATGCGACGGGAGAGTAAGACGCACGAACTCTCAGAGGCGCATCACTGGCGCCACCGCCAGACTTCGTCCGACTAGCTCACTGTAGGTAATCGTTAGGCCGTGCGAGGTGGGCCTGCGTGGTCATCGGAGATGGCTGCGGTGTGAGCTCCGTTCGTACCTCTCACAGAAGGTCGAGGTGTTCTTGGCAACTTTTCGCTCCTGACGTCTCTGGATCCATGAAAGTGTAACCTTGCTCGTGACTTTATAGAGCTCCGTGTTCGAACGGTTTTCTCCAGCGCTCGCAATGCGAAGGCCACTACGTGCAGCAGAGGATAGGCCTATGTCTGTCGTTGAGCTTTT